AGCTTACCACAGAGGTACTTAATGCCATCATGATGTCACCCAAAACACAAACAGCCAAGACAACAGCATTAATACAAAGATATATTCCATAAAAGAGTGTGGCGGTCAAAGAAAAGCATTACACTTCCTGAAAACACAAGCATCCTTCTTCCTCTAGTCTACAGAGAAAACTGTAAAAAAAAAAAACAACAACAAAAAAATGTATCATAACATCATCAACAAACAACAACCACCAGGGACAGCTGGGGCATTTGTGCGTCTCTGGGCTACTTTCTAACGCTTCTCTGGATCTCGTGCCCGTTCTGTCCTCATCGTTCAGGGATCGAGTGCTACCTTCACTTACTCGCAGAAGTGTACATGCTAGTGTGGTGTATCCTGGTGGGTGTTTGTTGATGATGTTATGATACAGTTTTTTGTTGTTGTTTTTTTTTTTTTTTTACAGTTTTCTCTGTAGACTAGAGGAAGAAGGATGCTTGTGTTTTCAGGAAGTGTAATGCTTTTCTTTGACCGCCACACTCTTTTATGGAATATATCTTTGTATTAATGCTGTTGTCTTGGCTGTTTGTGTTTTGGGTGACATCATGATGGCATTAAGTACCTCTGTGGTAAGCTTGGCTGCTGAGGGAACCAGGGGGATTGGGTGTGGCTGGGCACGACAGGCTGGTGGACGGTAAAGCCAGTTTATGGTTGGCACCGTCTGAAATAACTTCCGTCAAGTGATTTTTTTTAGATTTTTTTCTAAGGTTTATGTACCTTGAGAGTGTGAGCGAGCACAAGTGGGGGAGGGGCAGGGAGAGAGAGAGAATCCCAAGTGGGTTCCACGCTCTGCGCTGAGCCCACGCGGGGCTCGATCTTACAAACCGATCACGACCTGAGCCAAAATCAACAGTCAGACACTGAACTGACTGAGCCACCCAGGCACCCTGTGATTTTTTAGATTCTGTGTGCCGCTCTCAGTCATCCTTTGTGTGGAGGTTATAACCGGGATGAGCTGGCCTGTGGCTTGCTTACAGTGAGAGGCAGAGCTTTGACTCTGTAGAGCCAGGAGGAAAAGCATTAGGCTCTCTCTGTGCAGCGCCCCCCGGCAGCACGATCCAGGCGAACGCACTTGGGGACGCTGGGTCGGAATCTGGGCACTGCTGTCCTGGACCCGCTGGCCCGTCTGTGAAGGGTGAGCAGCATTGCCCACCGGGCCACGTACCTCTGACCCATCCTGCCCTGGGGGAGACGGTGACGCCAGACCCTCGATGCCGGCGCGTGGACACCCAGGAGCGATGGCGCCTGCCACCCCATCTATCCAGGTCGACCTGGCGGCTGGACCCCTTGTGAGTCTCTACAGGTCACAGCCCAGTTCAGGGGGAAGTCTGGCCATGACTTTTCAAAGTTCAGTTTGGTTTTTGACTAGCTTACAAAACTCTTTGGCCATTTCAGCCATCTCCTTGGCCTCGGGGTAGCTGGATGAGAGAAGAGAAAGGAAACCAGGGGAAGTGGTGCATGCGTGGCGGTCTCCAGTGAACTGGAAACGACTTGTACGAAGCCACAGCGCAGCCTCCTGGTCATTCCCCGCACAGCCTACTCACTCCCTGCCCTGCCACGCTGCGTAGAGGCCGGTGTGACCTCTGCACTCCCCCTCTTAACCCCCATACACTCCCACTTTAAGGTTTCCGGGTCTTTCCTTGTCCTTCCTGTGCCCCTTCCTGCTCACACCGTTGCAGGACTTCGCTGCGTTATTTTTTTTCCCACCTCATCTCCCTCGCACACCATTTCTTACATGTTTCCCCATCTCAGAAAGCTTGCCTTGGCCCCCTCGCCTTCCTTCCTTTCCTTCCCCTCCCCACCGCTCCCTTCCTTGACTGAAGGCTGCGAGCCCAGGCACCAGACTCCACTGGCCTCTGCGGCTCCTGGCACTCTGGACCAGCCCCTTCTCAACATCCTCCGCTTCTGTGGCCCGGGCTCGCCAGGTCTCTGACCCCCTCCTGCCCATTCCCGTCACACCTCCAGCCAGCCTCGCCTGCCACTGCCCAGCTCACCAGTCTCCGGGCGTTCCCACTACCCAAAGGGCAGGGCTGGGAGCTGAGCAGGAAAACCATCTGTGCTGGTGCGTGGGAAGCCTGTGCTCCGTTTCCCCGCATGAATGACGAAACATTAATGGGTCCTGGAACACAGGAAGTGCTCCGGGTACTTAACAGTTAAAAAACGCATTCAGTCACCAGAACAGCTCTGAGGAAGCCATTTTTGTGCCCGACATGTGAGACTCCGAGAAAGGAGAGTTCCTTTTGAGGATCTGGAAGGTCTGGATTCAGACTCTGGAAACCTGCCCCCCAGAACCCGTACCTGTTAAAATAGGCTTGGTGTCTACCAGCCCCGACTTCTGAATGTCTGGCTGAATGTCCGACTCCTGCTGAGCAAAACCACACCAAGGGCAAGCCCGGAAAGGAGCAGTTTCCTGAAGATTGCCCAAACTAGCAGGGCTCTGTCATAGGTCAACAGGCGTTTGGACGAGGCAGGGGAGTGCTCGCTCATGCTTCCACACCTGGATTTGGAAGAAGGTGGTGCTCAGCCTTATGCAAGTACAGGTCTTCCAGGTGCTCGGCCCCATCTTGCCCCCGAGGCCCTGGCCATGGGCAGCAGGCTCCCTTCTCTGTAAGGCCAGAGCTGCTCCACCCAGCAGGCCCACAGAGGGCTTTCTGTGCCGGGCAGTGAGGCATCGGACATGGCCTTCTCTCCAAGGGATACTACATGGGAGCTGCTGCTGGGGTGGTAATGGGCATGCGTGAGTGTAGGCCTCTGCAATCTTAGGGAGCCCGGGGGGAGAGCTTCCCAGAAGAGGAGGCTGGGTCAGAGCCAGCAGAGAAGGGAAGGCCTCAGTCTTGGTAGCTGGGGCCACCTACTCGCTCCTGGTCAGCAGCACCGGAGCACGGACTGCAGAGGCAGGGAGAAAGGGGAGGTGCTTTGCAGCGGTCCCAGCACCCAAGGCATCCTCCTGTCCTAGGAAGGTCCTGCCCAGACACCAATTGCTTGGCCCTGTCACCTGGAGGTGTGGTGCCTTCAGCTGTACCGGCTGAGTGGAATGGCTGTGTGACCTTCCCGGGTGGGCGTTTCCAGCTCTAGGGTCCCGCCTGGTGTCTGGCCACAGGGCCACAGGGTTGTCTGCCCCTAAACTGTGGTGACTTTCCCAAATGATGGATCTTGGTAAAGATGCTTCCACAGGCTTGTGTCTGTTCCTCAAGAGGTTGCTGCCTGGCCTTCCAGGGCTGACTGGGCCTCCTGCAGTTCTCATTCGTCCGGGCGCTCTCTAATCCAGAGAACCGGATACCTTTGGCGCCATTTTGGCTCTTTGGGAACTCAGACAGAGCTGGCGTTTCCTCCTCTGAGGCTGCAGTGGAAAGGTATGTTCATCCTCAGAGTGCTTTTGGGGTCTCCGGGGTGACCCAGGGAAACCCGAAATGGGTGGTGTAGAATAAGGACTGTGGAATAACTTAGAAAAAGTCAAGGCTGCCTGTAAGTGGATACTGGCCTGGTGAAGTTACCAATTTTAGAGAGCCCAGCTTTGGAGGAGGAGGAAAATAAAGCAGAACTCACAAAGGTCTGAGACCATTATTTCTTCATTCCGCTTTCTTCCTGTGCTCTGCATCTCGTATTTCCGCAGGGGCTTCAAAGGCATGGTTTAATAACTAGCAAAATAAATGATCACCTTGGACTATACTTTTATCACCTCCCACGACTTTAAAACTAGTCATTATGTGTGTGTGTGTGTGTGTGTGTGTGTGTGTGTGTGCCACTCTTAAGTACCCTTCCAGAAAATGTTCATGCATGGTCAAGTATCTTTTCTCATACAAATGAGAATCAATTTTATGTAGCATTCACAACTGATTTACCTAATATATCTCAGAAATCTTTGTCCACAAGTGTATGCCCAGCCACGGTGCATTTTCACGGTCGCACTGCCCATCAGGGGACCGCCAGCATGTGAATGAACCTTGCTCCATCCAGGGGAGTAGGTTTACAGTCACAGGTAACAGAAAACCCAGTTCAAACTGGTTTAAACAATGAGGGGAGGTTTTTGGCTCCTGAAGCTGGAAAGTCCAGAGGTGGGGTGAGTTTCGGGGTTGTTTCGATCCAAGTGGCTCAGTGACGCCGACAGGATCTGGTTTCTTTTATTCTCTCCTGTGCCTTCCATGGTGCCCCCATCAGCCAAGGTAGAGGGAGGGAAGACCCGTCAGAGACACCCTCGGGCCTTACTGTCATGGGGACACGGTGGTGAAGCCATTGAGGGAAGGCCCCCCATCCCCACCCCGGGACCCCCTCGACTTGTCCTTCCCACTTAAACCATCTGGCCGGGCGACAGACTCCTGTGGAAGGGGGTGAGCATGGAGGAGGCCGCCAACAGTCATGACGCTTCTGTGGGTAGATGTTTTAGTTGGTGTGGTATTTTGTTACTACAGGGGCTTATAAAAACTCTACGGTATTTTGTTGTTAGAATAACTTCCTAGAAGGGTTTGCAAGAAAAACATGTTTTTAAAGGAGCTTTCCAGGGAGGTGGGCTAACATTGTAATGATAGGGTCTGGGGGCTGGGGCATGCCAGCATGGTCCTGGCTCTGGGTCAGGGGGGTAGATGGAAGGGGGGGTGATTGATGTCTCTGCAAGGACTCCTCCCAGTAAGTAGCCTGTGGCCTTACAACAGCACAAGCTCCACGGAGAGGCCGAGCAAGAGGGGCAAGGGAGCCCTAGGCATCCGTCTTTGCCTCGGGAGATGGCTGGTCGTGTGGGAAGTGTTCGTTTTTGGCTGGCATCCTTGTTAAGTGAGGACAAGCACTCAGATTCAGTGCTGTCCCTGAGGTTGCACAGGGAGGGAGCTGCAGAGTCTGGGCAGACACGAGCCTGGCACCTGGCCAGCCTGGCTGAAGCTCTAGGACATGACCTGACGCTTGCGGAGTCAAGGGGCAGCAGCATCTCACTGAACTGCCCCGGTTCCTCGGGACAGGGCTTCCGGGTCCAGACAGCTCGCTGCCTGGTTGCTGCCCCCTGGCGGCTCGGTGGCTCGTGCTCCTGGAGAAGGGCGGTACCCACGCTGGGTGCTGGTGCTGCTTGGCCACTTCCCCAGAGGCAGGTCCGTGCCGGGGGCAAAGCCAAGATCCGTGGGGAAGGAAGAGGGGAGGTCTTGGCTCTGTGGGCGTGCATCCCCAGTGGAGACAGGGATGGGTTCCCCCATCTCCCCTGTCTGCCAGGTAATAAAACCAAAGCCATTACGTGAGAGGAGGGGAAATCCTGGACCCGGATTCCTTTGGGTTAGGACCTGTGCTGTGGCAGGAAGAGGCCTGAGCCTGAGTTTGAGTGTGGGCTCAAAAAAACCCCACTAAAACTTAATGCCTTCGTTTCTTCATTTGAGAAGTAGAGATGACTGCCTTCATGTCACAGGGTGTCCGGGAATATTCAGTTAATTACTGAAGAGCCGTGACTCCCCAGCCACCTCCTGTTCACTGGCCATGTGGCTTTGGGCAAGTCACTTAACCTCCTTGGGCCCTTTTTTTCGTAAATGAAGATAATAATACCCCCACACGGGGCTGCCTTGGGGATTAGATGAGGCGGGTAGAGGGTTTTAACATAGGTCCGGATTACTCAGTGTGTGGCTCCAAAATTACTGCTGACAAGATTATCGAAGGGCAGTTGCCGTAGCGGCCAGTGCACCCCCGCCCCCACCCCCCAGGCTGAGCTGCCTGTCCTGTCTCGTCCTGCCGACCCTCTGTCCTGTCAGCAACTAGGCTTGGAGGGCCGTAGGGAGACTCAACAGGCATTTGGAGGCTAAGGTCTGTTTGCTTCCTGTGCGTACAGGTGTGCATACAGGGTGGGGGAGGAGAGGGTGTTGCTTCTTGCCTGGAGTGTGCGTTCTTCTGGAAACCACAACTCCAGAAGTCCCTGGAGCCCCCCAGAGGAAGCAGAGAGGCCCTCCCCCTCACAGGGACCGGGGCCCCACGGGAGAGTCAGCCTAGCGGCGCAGCCTGCCCTCAGGGGGCCCAGGAGGGATGCCGTGGGCAGAAAGGGGTTCGAGGAGCTTGGGATGAGAACCAGGACAGGGCCCGGAAGCAGTCCTTGCAGGGGATAAAGCCGCACACACGGCAGGACGTCGCGTTTGGATGGGCTGGACCCCATCTGGTCCTGCTCTGGTAAGAACAGACACCCAGGGAAACTCTGGGGCCCGCCGAGGCCTCAGAGCGAGTGCCTGAGGCCAGGAGGCCACCTCCACCTCTGACACGTGAGGGTGTTCTTCCACGTGGTGGGGCAGCCTCAGCAGGATGGAAACCAGGAGCCAGGGAGAAGGGATGTGGCTGTGCATGTAAGTCAAGCGCGTGGGCCCCTGCTCTGCTTGCTCCCAGGAGAGCTTTGCGTCAAAAAACATTCGGCAGCCCTCACCCTCCCTACCCAGCTGATTCAGCCTCTCTGTGCCTCTGCAAGGCCAGGACTGCCGGCCCCTGATGGTTGTTGGGACGCAGCCATTCATCTGTCTGTGGGGACTGGGCCCAGGTCTTGTGTTTTCTTGTAGTTTTAGATCCTTTTTTTTCCCCCCCCCTGCTTTCTAAAATCACAGCTGTTGTCCTATATGGAAAGAGATGGAGCGGCCTCTAGGAAGGACTTTGCACCCTGTCCCTGGAGGTATGCAAGCCCAGGCTGGATACCTACCTCCTGGTAGGGGTGATACGGGTGGGACTGAGAATGGGTTTTGTGCTGCATGGACCACCACCAGTCTTCCCGTCTCTGAGAGAGGCGGTGGTCTTTAGTGTGCCTTTTGCTAGAGATAATCCCCCCCCCAAAAGCATTACTTATATAATATTACATATGCACATATAAAAATTGTATTTAAACGAGGAAGCTGGTAAGATTAACAGTTCGAAAGAGAAATCACGTAGATCTATATGGAGTAAAGGAATTTTGGGATTGGCTTTTCTTGGGCCTCATTCTCCTACATACAGTTAGGCACGTCCGTAGACAAGAAGTACTTTGTGTTAACTCATAACTTAGTTGTAAAGCAGCTCAAAGGTAATGAAAGCCTAGAATCAAATAACTGGACGACTGTGCTCTAAACAAGGCAGGGATTTCTGCCACAGATGCCCAGAATCTTTTTTTCCTCATTCCAAAAAAGATTTCCTTGCACCTCTTGTCTTTCTGGCACAGCTCGCTTTTGAAAATAGGACCTGGGCAGGGAATCCAAAGGAGCCAATCTCTCGCTGTGAGAAATGGATTCTGGGGGTTAGAGCATCTCCTACATGCCCTAAGTAAAGGTCAGCCACTGTGGGAGGCGTCCTGGGGGCACGGGTTGCCCTCTCAGCGATGGCTGGCTGGCTGGCTGGCTCAGGTCCTCAGGCCATGTCTGCTGCCCTGAGAGCCTACGTGTCAGCAAAGCTGCTTTAGTCCGTCTCCCCGGCCACTCCTGCAGACACATCGGGAGCCACGTCCAAAACTGAATTTGTCTTCTTCCCTCAGGACCGAGTCCCACCCACACCCCAAACTGTTCTCCACTTTCCCCCATCTCAGCTGAGGGCCCCGCCACCCACCCAGCAGCCAAATCCAAGAGGGTGGGCATCACCTGGGTTCTGAGCGTGCCATCAGCTCCCCTGCAGTCAACAGAACGCCAGCCAAGGTCAGCCGTCGTACAAGAAACCCCTCCTCTGACCGGGAGGCCATCTTCGATGCTTCACTCCCTGGAACAACCACCGTGGCGGATTTCAGTGTCTTTCTCCCTTTTTTTTTCTTCTGCACAATTCCTGGGACTCCTCTTGTTTTTAAGGTGTACATTTGAGTCTCTTTTCAAGCATAACTGCATTTTGAAGTGAGTTTACCTCCCTTCCCTGTGCATCTCAAAGTGATTCTAGGAAGCTGCAGGGGGTGGGCGGGCCCTGGTGGTATTCTGGATTAAAAGAGAATCTGTAACGGATGCTCCGTAATGGATCAGCAGGGCAGCACAGCGCTAATGGAGGAGCCGGGAACCGGTCCCTTGTCCTCAGTGAACTGGGGATCTTACTTCCACCGCAGCTTAGGCAATGGTGCTGGGGTTTTCAAGGTGTGGTCCCTCGACCAACGGCTGTGGTATCACCTGTCAAAAGTGCACATTCTGTGGTCCCACTCCAGGCCTGTGGAGTCAGAAACTCGGGAATGGCACTCAGTAATCTTTAAAAAAAAAATTTTTTTTTTGATGTTGGTTTATTTTTAAAGAGAGAGAGTGAACACACACGAGCAGGGGAGGGGCAGAGAGAGAGGGAGACACAATGGGAAGCAGGCTCCAGGCTCTGAGCTGGCAGCACAGAGCCTGACGTGGGGCTCAAACCCACGAGCTGCGAGATCATGACCCGAGCCGAAGTCGGACGCTCAACCGACTGAGCCACCCAGGCGCCCCTCCAGTAATCTTTTTAACCAGTCCTTGGGTGATGCTAATGCATGCTCAGGTTTGAGGACCATTGCACGAGGGTAGAGTCAGAAGAGACTAGCTACGAGAGCAAGCATCTCCTGAACTTTGGTGACTTTGAAAGATAAGTATCCTTTGGAGTATCTCTGGTCGGCGGGGGGGGGGTGGGGCGGAGGAGGGTGAGGAGGGAGGGAGGGAGGGGGAATCTTAGGAGTGAAGCCCGAGTGGCCTGCACACCACCTGTGTTCGCATGCCATTGGCCAGAACTCAGATGCCACATTGAATTACGAAGGGGGGCTGGTAAA